GGGGGTTATATTTTAGAGATTATCATAGTGTGTGATATGATCATTTTTAGGGGATTATATTTTAGAGATTATCATAGTGTGTGATATAATCATTTTGGGTAGGTTATATTTTAGAGATTATCATAGTGTGTGATATAATCATTTTTGAGGGTTATATTTGAGAGATTATCATAGTGTGTGATATAATCATTTTTGGGGGTTATACTTCAGAGATTATAATAATGTGTGATATAATCATTTTTGGGGAGTTATATTTTAGAGATTATCATAGTGTGTGATATAATCATTTTTGAAGAGGTTATATTTTAGAGATTATCATAATGTGTGATATAATCATTTTTGGGGGGTTATACTTTAGAGATTATCATAGTGTGTGATATAATCATTTCATTGATCACTACTACTCTTCCAAACAAACAACGACATCCGTAGTCATCTAGTGAACTCATTCATAACGGGAAGTCCGGTTTCCTGCTCGGAAATCAACTGATTGAACTTTGCAGAAACTAGAAAAAAAAAAGTGAACACAAAAACGTTGCTTCTATTATAGCTGCCGTAAGCTACATATAAAATATATATTTTTATTAAACCGTGAGTCGAATGTACCAGAATCTGTAGATCTCAGGAACGTTTGTTGTATTTCATCAGTTTTACAGTACAATCCGTCATGTCTACAGCATCTATGGCAGTTACTTCAGATAGAAGTAAAATAAAGTATACAGGTGTTCAAAGCGACTGTACAGGTGCAACATTTAGTATTATATTGTCTATTATAACTGTATAACACTAATCTACGCTAGTCACCCTTAATTTAGCAGTCTTTTTTAGAAGAAAGGTAGTTAGTTAGTCAACACCAACCACCACCACGTATTGGGCTAATTCTATACCAACCAATAGTGGAACTAACCGTCACATTATAGGGCCCCCGAGGACTGAAAGAGAGAGTATGTTCCGTGACGGGTTCGAACCCGCGATCTTTAGATTATAATCCGAGCACCCTAATCACCAGACCATGCCAGTAATATTGCGTAACAGACAGGTGTCTTGCTTCTTTTTATTAGTTTGTTTATAAAAACATAAAAGATTCGGTGTCACATTCAGAGATGTATTAATAATTAAATATTTACTCACTTATATACCGGCTAACTCATGCCAAGTATCATATTTGAATAAAAAGACAGTTCTTACCGCCTACATACGTAATTATTTCATTATTCTAAACGTTTTGATGCTCCTTTAGAATAGTGTCGTTATCAGCTGTAAGTTTTCCTTCATCACACATTTGACGATACGTCTGTTGTTAGTAATAATAGTTGGATGATCTGTTGTTAGCAATAATAGTTTGATGATTTGTTGTTAGTAATAATAGTTGAATGATGTGTTGTTAGTAATAATAGTTGGATGACCTGTAGTTAGTAATAATAGTTGGATGATCTGTTGTTAGTAATATTAGTTGGATGATCTGTTGTTAGTAATAATAGTTGGATGATCTGTTGTTTGTAATAATAGTTGGATGATCTGTTGTTAGTAATAATAGTTGGATGACCTGTAGTTAGTAATAATAGTTGGATGATTTGTTGTTAATAATAATAGTTGGATGATCTGTTATTAGTAATATTAGTTTGATGATTTGTTGTTAGTAATAATAGTCGGATGATCTGTTGTTAGTAATATTAGTTGGATGATCTTTTGTTAGTAATAATAGTTGGATGATGTGTTGTTAGTAATAATAGTTGGATGACCTGTAGTTAGCAATAATAGTTTGATGATGTGTTGTTAGTAATAATAGTTTGATGATGTGTTGTTAGTAATAATAGTTGGATGATCTGTTGTTAGTAATAATAGTTGGATGATCTGTTGTTAGTAATATTAGTTGGATGATCTGTTGTTAGTAATAATAGTTGGATGATGTGTTGTTAGTAATAATAGTTGGATGACCTGTAGTTAGCAATAATAGTTTGATGATGTGTTGTTAGTAATAATAGTTTGATGATGTGTTGTTAGTAATAATAGTTGGATGATCTGTTGAGTCGGATGATGTGTTGTTAGTAATAATAGTTGGATGATCTGTAGTTAGTAATAATAGTTGGATGATATGTTGTTAGTAATAATAGTTGGATGATCTGTTGTTAGTAATAATAGTCGGATGATCTGTTGTTAGTAATAATAGTTGGATGATATGTTGTTAGTAATAATAGTTGGATGATTTGTTGTTAGTAATAATAGTCGGATGATCTGTTGTTAGTAATAATAGTCGGATGATCTGTTGTTAGTAATAATAGTTGGATGATATGTTGTTAGTAATATTAGTCTGATGATCTGTTGTTAGTAATATTAGTCGGAAGATCTTTTGTTAATAAACAGCTAGTTAAAATGTCAACATTTATTTCTATTAAAAGTTTTAGCATCTGATTCATTCTGTAATTGTTTGTTTGTTTGTAGTTATGCACAAAGCTACACAATGGGCTATATGTGCTCTGCCCACCAAGGGTATCGAAACCCGGTTTCTAGCGTTGTAAGTCCGCAGACATACCGCTGTGCCACTGGGGGCTTTATGAAACTTTCTAAGAGAACAATTTTGTTTTAAGCTCTGCCAACTTTCAGCTATATTAAGAATATTTTAAAATGAGAACGTATATTTTATGTTACGTCAGTTTACAATGGCAACATGTATTTGTGAGATTCCAACAATATTCGTTAGGTTTTTTAAGTGCGAGTTGTTATTCATTTTTGACAGCTCGATATATTTACACAACACATAATGATCAAGAAACAAGTTACAAGTATTGGAGAGAAGTAAAAATATATTTCATTACTTATTGAACCGTGATCTAGTATACGTGAACTCAGCAGCCCGTGAAATGTTTGTGGTACATCTCAATTTTCGTACGAACATAATTTACAACTTATAATGCATATTATTTGTCGAAGGCGCTAACCATCCCTAATTTTGAAAGGATGCTACTGAACACCACTCATCGCCATCTCCGACTTCTTACTAACAAATAGTAGGAGCGGTCGTCACATTCCCACCGCCGAATGAGCAAGTATGTTTGGCGAAGGGTTTCGATCTCCCGATCCACAGATTGCAGTCAAGCGTTATAAATACCAATCCATACCAGGCTCATTATCACTTTAACTTTTTAATGATACATCTCAGTTTTCCGAAGGTTTACTGTTGTGCAGCGTTTATTCAAGCATTGATAAGATTAGGGTGCATAAAAATAAAATAAAAAGTTTGAGGTGATATTTTTTACTGGTATTTTCTTTACAAATGAATCTTTTTTTCTCAATGACGTGAACAAACTTTTTTCCCTTACAATAATATGATTAAGGGAATAATTTTTTATTAGTAATTAATATATGTAGTATAATTAAGATCTTGATATTCGCCAAAGTTTTTGTAGATAAATTACTTGGATTTAACGGTGTATATAATAGTAGTAACCATAACAGTTGGACAAAAAGACGCGTAATAAACAAAATTGTCTATGACATAGTATATTCTGAATTTTCTCTTTTCGATCGTCGTAATCCATTCTCGATTGTGTAAAAATGCTTAAACTTACATAACGTATGGGAGGAAAGACTAGTATAAAAACAGAAAATACTCCGAGCATTCCTGCAACACATCAAACTCGTGTCCATGAGCAGTTTTATGTTTAAATTGACATTTCCACAAATAATATTCAACTTATTTTATGAAATAATATTGTTTTAAAAAGCTTTCCTCTGTATTAATCGTATTTATCAACAATAATTTGTGTTGTATATTGACATTTCCACAAACAATATTCGGTTTCGTTTAACTCAATATTATGCACTACAATGGTCTTAAAAAGCTTTCCTCTGTATTAATCGTATTCCTCGACAATGTTAAAGAGTATATTGAAAATTTCACAGACAGTTTTCGTTTCGTTTCAATACATCTTCTGCACTAAAATGATCCTTAAAAGTTTCCTTCTATATTGAAACGTTTTGAAATTAAATTAGGGATATTTTTCGAAGGAACATACTTGAAAACGATAGCGTCATTGCTTTCTCGACACACTTTTCTTCCTACATCTTATATATATATATATCCTTATAATGAAGCACAAAGTGTTTTCCTTCATCGATTCAAGTAAATGAAATGACGACAGAAAAAAACTACTGTTAGTTTTATTTCAGGTGAGAATCAGTAAAGTAGTAAACGTGACGTATCCTTTATGAGAATCATCTAACCAAAGAAAAAATTGTAGCAATTAACACAACAATTTTAATAATTTAATAAAATTTAGTCCTTACAATGGTGTACATATAAGTGTATAAAGCTACCAAACTTGGAATTAAATGTTATACATTTGTCATTATGGTTTTAATTCTTGTTTCATAACTTTTTATAGCAGGATCCTTTCTTCATTTTAAAATTCATAATCTTTTAATACTTTGTTTGTTTACTTTTTATGTTATACCTGTATAAAGTATATACTTTACCTTTAGAAACTGTTGAGTGTCTAGCTATCGATATGTAGCGCCATCCGTTGGGTTAAAAAGATACTTAAGTTCGTGCCTAATGGGTTTACTATTTATATTATACCTGCACATATATAGATTTTAATCGAAATATCAAAAGTGATTCTCGCAGACCAGTCAATTAAGCTGGGGAAATCTTGTAGCGATAGTTCGAGCCATTATGCGCTAGCACCGCTGACGTGATCAGACAGATAGGTAGAAGACAAAAAAGTTGCTGCTTTAGAAATTTCCGAATTGTTATACCGGAAATGTTAACGACCTTTTTAATGTATTATTAATATACATATATATATATATGCGCATAATATATTGTAACAAATACTTTGAATTGTCGATTTTTCGTTTAGAAATTCGATAAGGTGGTTTTTCGGCGGGCGAATTATTTGGAATCCTCATCGATCCCTACTATTAAGTATTACCGTACTTAAAATAATCTTAATATGAACACTAATATTTTCATGATATGAAAATAAATGTTGAAGTGATTAACGTTTTCAGAAGCTTTAATTCAAAATAAAATACATAACATATAAGTGCCAAGCTTACTAGGATATAAGTCTTAGCTTCTTGTTATCGTTACATTGTACAACTGGAATTTAGTTATTATCACTATATCATATGTTTATGTTTCAGCAAACTTAAGTTGCTTTATGCAACATTTCTATCTGGAAAATTCGTAAAGAAGATACGTTCGTTCTTCTTCACTGGTACTTTTATTCTCCGGAATATACACGTCATCCGCTGAAATTTGAACTTGATGGGGTACCATCGCGACACATGAAAAACAAAAACGGGTCGTATTTTAAAAAAAGTTTCTGGAGTAAAGACAAACATGTCTTTCTATTTATTATTATTTCAAACTGAGGTCGATGTGGTATTCCGTTCACAAAATGTGGCTCTTCTTGGCTAGAAATAATGAAAAATAAAATTAATACTCCGTTATCTGATACGAAAGCCCAATGTTTGTATAGCTCCACTTTAGTGATCGCTGTATAAACTCGTACTACGATAAACACATTAGTTGGTCTATTGAAATGTTACTTTCTGAAGGTGATACTAATCTGTCAAAAATTTAAAAAATAAGGAACTATATAAATTTATCTATAATATGTAATACAAAGTAGTATCTGGTAATGATCTTCTATACTATCGATTTAAGTTACAGCTTCTCCAATAAATCTACTTTTTTTACTAAACATAAAACAACGCCTCGTTTGGCGTATCATAAGCTCCCAATAAAAGATAACATTAAAACGTTGACCTGACTCAAGCTGAAGCTATCCGTGTTCTAGACTTGCAACACTAAAAATAATGGGTTCTTGAAGCAAAACAAAGTACTTTCTTATTTTTATCATGTCGCGCACATATCTTAAGAGAAAAAACACCAAAAAATAAAAGGCTTTGTACCAGCAAACTACTAACGTTCATTTCCAACCGCATAAGATTTATATTGGACATACCTTGGCATTGAAGAGGTACGAGGTTTCCATTAAGGGGGTCTCTGCTGTTACATGGGTTTCTTCATCTTCATGTTCAACCTGTATCGCATACGGTTGCACTTGTTTAAAAATATCAATCTGCGCGTGCTCTTTGAGAGCATCTTGCCGTCTACCATGTTGTGCAGTTGGAATTTTGGGTAGAGATAATTCAGCATATGTAACTCCCTGATGTCCCTAAGATCAAATGGCTCATTAATCATCTTCGTTTAACGTGAATGCAATATACACTTCCCTAATACTTATGAATGATCATGATGAACATATACCTGGTAATTAATAATTCCTAATGAAAAAACCATCTCGTAATTAATCATTTCCAATGAAAAAAGCATCTGGTAATTAATAATTCCTAATGAAAAAAGCATCTGGTAATTAATAATTTCCAATGAAAAAAGGATCTCGTAATTAATCATTTCCAATGAAAAAAAGCATCTGGTAATTAATAATTCCTAATGAAAAAGCATCTGGTAATTAATAATTTCCAATGAAAAAAGCATCTGGTAATTAATAATTTCCAATGAAAAAAGCATCTGGTAATTAAGAATTCCTAATGAAAAAATCATTTTATAATTAATAATTTCCAATGAAAAAAGCATTTGGTAATTAATAATTTCCAATGAAAAAAGCATCTCTTCTATCCGCGGCCTCATATTTATAATCAAGCATTCATGGCTAAACTTATCAAATAGTTAAAGATATTTAATAATTCGTAATCAGAGGACACAACATAAAAAAAGATTTTGAAAACAGTTAAAGTTTAAAAGTGCATTTTATCAAGAAAAAAGAAACGTCTTTTAGCTTCAGAAAAGCATATTTTAATATATCAGTAATTTGACTTACGTCTTCGTCAAATAATTTACTTCGGTTAACACTTCGCATTTTTATTCTACTTGAAACAGAAACGTAAGTTTGAAGTGTATCATATAGACACATCTTACACTATTCAGCACATAAACAACAGTGTTGCTAAAACTAACGTGAAGTCTGTAACTCATAAACAGAATTAATTTTCCAAGTAGAAGATTAAATGAAAAATGTTAGTCCTACACAAGAAATATAAAGGACAAGAATGATTGTTGTTAAGAACAAAGTATAAATAATGCTTTTGTAAGGTATCTATGAAACTATTATTTTATTGTTCTGGCTCAAATCAGTCAAACTTTGAACTTTTAACCTATTACACGGAAACCTATATATTTTGTATACTTGAATTTTACCAAACTTATGAACCAGTCAGGGGTATACGAAATATTTCTTAATATTTAAAGGCATCTACCAAACAGTATTCGCCTTCGAGTTAATAACGTCATCAAAAAGATGATGGATGTGCAGTATCTACTAAGCGTATTTCACAACCAGACATTCCAATACTGTCGTTAAAAATGTTTTCTGAAACATATATAAATAGTAAGGAAAGCTCGTGATGTTCCTCATAATAAATATGTTATATAAACCCGGAATACAATATTTTTGGAAAATTTCAGACATGACAGAAGTTGAGGACCTTAATCCTCTTACGTGGAGTACTACATAAGCTAATGTAAGTTTTGATTCTATGTCACTGAAATAAAATAGGTTTTAGAAGATACACATTTAAAGATACCATTAATTTTGCGTTATATACAAGGACAAAACTTTAAATCCTCCTTTAGGAGTTATAAGTAGCTTTCAGCTCTTAGTGCCTAGATGTTTGATAGTCATAATTAATAGCTATAATTTACAGATTTCCGAAAATACTTTTCGAACTGTCGAGATTGTGATGATTAATCTTAAGTTTTATTTGAAAGAATAATTGCATGATCAAACTTGAAAATGTTATCGGCATTCCACAATATTTTCGCTCAGTTACGTCTGCTAATTAAATTGGCTTTCTGTAATCTGAAATTAATTTCAAAATATCGTCGGAAGGATAACTGATTAGCCACATACTATCCCAAAAGAATTTACTCTACTGATACGATTTATTTCCTGGAGCTCAATCATTAACTTACCATTGTGTTTCCAACTGGAATGATACCATGAGATCCAATTTCAGGTCGGGTTTTACTGTAACGTAGTTTGTGAAATGAAACTCCTTCCTCATTTGGTGCTTCACTTCTTACTAAATGGAATAACTTAAGTTATTGTTTTCAAACATTCTGGTTCAATATTTATATTCACTTTTTTTTTTACTTCTGAGTTAATACATTAACTCAGATCATCTTTATAAACGTTTTATACAAATTTGGAAGTGCTTTTAAAACGTAACCTAACTGCATAGATACAGTAAATATAACTAATTCACACTTTATTGTACGTTTTATAGTGCTAAATAACAAAAATTTCAGATGTTTCATTATAGCATACTAAATCAATTTGGAACGAAACAAAACTTAAAACTTAATGACATTTAATTATAGAGCACGTTTAAAGGGGAAAAATAACTGTATTATAGTTAAAAGAAACAAAAAACTACATTGCTGTAGATGACACCGAATTGTTACTGGTTATGAAAGTAGGTAACAACTAGTCGAACTTTACCGTGTTGATCAATGGCTATCGCTGGTATAACATCAGGCTCTCTCGAGTCTGTTGTGTCCACAAATTCCTCTGTCTCTTTCTGCAGTAGCGTGTGATTCCTTTGGTGAAAGTAAAATTCAAATATATATCTAACATCTGTATAGATTTATAAAAATATTTTGAAAGGAAGAGAAGGATTTTTATTTCTATGAAACGTCAGTAGGAGTTACTGAGACAGAATACAAATTGATTTACGTTTTGTTTTGTTTTTTGAGAGATCGCGCACATGTTGTTTGCGTGCCAGTGTGACGGTCAAATCCTACTATTCCATTATACTATCCCGAAAAACTTGGTGGTGGGTTTTGAATAGCTGCCTGCCCTCTAGTCTATCGCTTCAAAACTGTACAGATAGCCCTGGAATACATTTGCAAGCAATTTAAAAAAAAATAATAAAAATAGACCAACTAGAAATTTGGTTGATGTTTTATTAGCTGTAAGAATACTGACAACAGTAAATCAAGTAACTTTATGTTATTATCAGAGAAGCCACATTTAGGATGTGTTTGGTAGCTGTAATAAATATAGACAAACTAGAAATGTGGTTGATGTTTTATTAGCTGCAAGAAAGGTGACAACAGTAACTCAAAGTAACTTTATGTTATTATCACGGAAGCCACATTTAGGATGTGTTTGGAAGCTGCAAGAAAGATGACAACAGTAACTCAAGTAACTTTATGTCATTATCAGAGAAGCAACATTTAGGATGTGTTTGGTAGCTGCAAGAAAGGTGACAACAGTAACTCAAAGTAACTTTATGTTATTATCACGGAAGCCACATTTAGGATGTGTTTGGTAGCTGTATGAAAGCTGACAACAGTAACTCAAAGTAACTTTATGTTATTATCACGGAAGCCACATTTAGGATGTGTTTGGTAGCTGTATGAAAGCTGACAACAGTAACTCAAAGTAACTTTATGTTATTATCACGGAAGCCACATTTAGGAT